TATAGATTCAGTGTATCAAGTTAAAGATCTATTAAATATCTACTGTGTGCCAGGTACTTGTCCAAGGTGCTGAGGAAAGATGAAAATGAACTAGTCTTTGCCCTCAAGGAGTTTCTATTTACTTGGGTGGGGAGGGTTGGGCAAGAATTAGAGCAAATGCATATAAGTAAATACAAAATGTGAACAAAATCATACAATGGAACTTCAAGAGTCAGAGAACAGTGACACCTCAGGGCGGGCGGGCTCAGGAAAAGACTGGTAGGATGCTGGCAGTGAACTGAGCTTTGAAGGAAGCTAGGGATACTAAAAGGTGCAGAAGAAGAGAGATTGCCTTCCAGACATGGGAAACAACTTGGACAAAGGCGTGGAGGTGGGAGATGGGATGTCCTGAATGAGAAACCTTTATCAGGCCAGTCTGACCAGAACAGAGTATAGATGAAGAGCAGTAACAATAATAATAATAAAATTTAAAGGTTGTAGAAGAGCATGGGAATTCTGTTGGGTAGGCCTTCAGATGCCTGGTTAAAGGTTTTGCATTTTTATCCAAGATAAAATAAGGAGCCACTGAGGATATGTGAACAGTGGAGTGACATGGTGGATTGGCCAGCTGTCTTGAGGATAAATTGGAGTGAGGAAGAGACTGCTAACATGGAGACCAGTTAGAAGGCTGTGGCAGCAGGCTAGAAAAGAAATGATGATGGGAGAAAACTATATAAGTAGAGAGATGAGGTCAGATGAGACATGCTATGGAGAAAAAAATCAAGCTGACCACTGATTTGGATATGGGAGTAAGGGAGAAGGAACAGTCAGGGATGACTCTAGGTTGCACACCAAGGTAACTGTTAAGATGGTGGTGACCTCAACGGAAAGAGAAACTTTCAATTCCCCTTTCAATAGATGAAAAACACCAGTCAAACATCAAAGGAAAAAAACAAACTTCTCACCAGCAAATGACCACCTGTAGCCTTAGGTTGATAACACAGTGGGCAATGTCTCTGATCAAGATAGCAAGAGCCCCATGCCCTTGACTTGGATGGAGGCTGAAAACAGCCAATTAGGGTCACTAGCTGGGGCTCTAAAACAGTTTGGACTATGTGATCAAGGGGCCTGCACAATCTCTTCCTTGGCAGGTGATTCAGGATTCTATTTGCTCCTCAGTCCAAAGTCAGTCATTTCCAGAACCAAAGAGGGTCCAGTAAATTATGGCTTCATTTAGAGAGTGTAACTCCTGAGGACATTTTATATATCTCTGTGAACCCTCATTTGTTGATGGGTCCACTTCATGCTCCTTTCATTTACCCATTTCATTTCACTCACAGATCATGAAATTTAGAGCCAAAAGGGACCCTACAGATCATCTTATCCAACCCCTTATTTTATAGATTGGGAAACTGAGGCTCAGAGAAGGAAAGGGAGCTGCCCAGCACTATATAGCTAGTAAATAGCAAAACTGGGATTTAGCTCCAGGTCCTGTAACTCTGAATACAGTAATAATACACAAGCATCCACTTAGGTGTTATTATCCTTGAAAGTAATAAAACCACATTTCTTTAAAAGTGTTTTCTGATTGAGACCACTGGCAAAGTCAGTTTGACCTGGTCATCCATTATTCTGAGCTAGGAAGTATTTCATGGGAGAGACAGTGATAAAGCCTTTCAAAGTTCAATAGCTACTCCTGGGTTAAAGGTAAAAAATTTTCCTCAATATTTAATGTTTCCAGAGACGCATGGTATCGGCCATCCTGATTGTAATATATAGAGAGGTATGGTGTCTAAAACATAGGAAGTAATAATTCTGCTGTCTGTCCTTTGCCTTTGCCTGGTCAGATCCCACGGTGTGTACCCTATGGTGAGCAGTACATATAAAGAAGGCATTGATAGGATAGAGACATCCAGGAGGGGTTGAACAGGATGGATAAGGACCATTTGTTGGGAATGTCATGGTGGGAGTCGGAGAGGGAACAGCTGAAGGGTCTTAAAGGATATTTTGTCCAGCTCCTTTATATCATAGATGAGAAAACTGAGGCCCAGAAGTTAAGTGGTTTCCTCAAAGTCACAAGTAAGAGGAACAGATGGAACTTAGACATGGGTCTTCTCACTACCCACCTAGACTGCTTTTTCACTGTGCCAGGCTTCAGGTGAAGGTCATATATAGGATGACCAATGAGGTCCCTTCTAGGCTAGAGATTATGTGCTTCCCAAAGTAGGAAATCACTGGGATTCATTCCCTGTGGCATGGGGAGAGACAGAAACAGAATGGCTACAGACAAGTTAAATCCCTTAACGGAGCCTTTCTTGCCTTCAGGTGTTCACACAGCATGGCCCACATGCCTGGAACATGCTCTCTTCTTCATTTCCACTTGTAAAAATCCTTGTCTCCCTTCAAGGCTCAGCTCAGGTGCCTCTCCTTCCTTGGAGCCTTCTCTGATTCATCCCCAGAGCTGAGAAGAATCAGACTCCTCCAGGTTATTGAGAGCCCAGTGTCTGGACCTTTCTTTGTCCTCGTGGCACATTCCCTTGTCTTATCATTATCTCTATAGGAGTCACACTTCAATACTTCAAGGATCTGTAGTTTTGTCAGTGTGCTAAGTCCTTCCACCAAATGCTGGTTCCAGTCCCTCCAGAATTCAATTAAAGGCCTCTGACATCATCGTGTGGGAAGTGCACTGATGAGCCTTTGTGAACCTCGCTAGACTTTTCCTCGCACGTTAAGTATACTCCCCATCACCAGGACCACATCTGCAGCCTTTCCAGCTTGGCAGGACCTCCCAGACCCTGTCCTCCCCTGGCACAACCCTTGAGAGCCCAGGCTCCCCTCCATGTCATGATTAGGCATTGAAGCAGACTATTGCATATCTTGGCCTCCTGTCAGATATTAAGAAACTGTTTCAAGGGCAGGGCCTATGTCGTACCTGTCCGTGTATCCCCAGAGCCTTAGCACACTCTGCCTTGGACATCACAGGTGCAAAAGTAACATTTGTTTCCTTGCATTGAACTAAATTAAGTCAAATTGCAGATGTCACAGTGAAAACTCCAAGTCCCCAGAGGACAATAACATATCTACAGGGGAGTGTATCAAACCTTGCCTAGGAATTACAAGCTCCCTGGCTCTGCTGTACTCCCTCCCCCCATTAGTTCACCCCCACCCACCCATGGTGGCGACCCAAGCAGCCAGGCATATCCCTGGTAGAGCCCTGCCAGTCCTTGGCCAGTTCATGTTGTTCCCTGAGTTGTGGATACTTTGACAACACTTGGGCGCTAGAATCAATAAGTATGCATGAGATTAGAGCCCCTAACTACATAATCTAAAATGTCCCCCAAGGAAGAAAATGACTTGTGCCTCAACAGACAAACTTCCAGAGTAGTGCCTGTCAGAAGGGGGAAGGGAGCATAAAACATTCTGTACTGGTAAGATATAAACAGCTGTGGCTTGCTCTAGAAGTGAGAGTATATACTGGCAGAGTCAAACTCAAATAGAAATTAATCCCTGCAGCCTCTGAAGTTACTTAGAAAACTACAAATTAACATTATTTATGTTGCATTGCATTTTCATTTATTTTGTTAAACATTTCCCAATTACATTTTAATTGGATTTAGGTTACACTTGAGAGTGTTGGGAGACATGAGTTTGATACCTCTAGTTGTACTGTCACACACACACACACGTGCGCATGTGTGTGTATGTGTGTGTGTGTATTTTAAAGCTTAAAAACAAAATCTAGACAAACAGAATAAGTAGAAAAGTCAGCTAAGTGGTATGGTGGATATAGTCCTGGGCCTGGAGTCAGGAAGACCTGAGTTCAAATCCTTCCTCAGACACTTACTAGCTGTGTGATCCTGGGCAAGCCTCTTAACCTTTGTTTGCCTGAATTTCCTCAGCCGTAACATGGGGATGATAATAGTACCTACCTTTCAGGGTTATTGTGAGAATGACATGAGATAATATTTGTGAAGCATTTTGCAAACCTTAAAACACTGTGTAAATGATATAAAAGATGAACCACAGCTTAGGTCCTGAAACAGAATAATTGGTAAAACATGAACTATATGTCTGTCCATTTTCCCTTTCTTAATTATTTCTTCAATGTAACTTGGCACTCTCTGTCCACCCTGGGCTGCTTCTCCAGACACAAGCTTCCCTCTTTTGCAATGAATAGGGCAGTGCTGAAAGAAGGGTAATTTCCAATAGTCATAGTCATTAGTGAGCCCCAATGAGGGGGCCCATCCCTTCATGTCCCATTTATACTGATTGGTTATAAACAGTTTAACGTGACATTAAGACATGTTTCATAGTGTTCTAATGTGATGACTGATTATTCTTCTCATCACATCACTATCTCTAAACATTAACATAATCTTCCAAAGACTTAATACAGCATATCTCAGCTAATCAATCACCCTTTACTCCAGACCCTCAATTCTTCATTTCTGCTAAGCACACATTTCTGTACTTGCCTCCGAGTTCTATTCACAAGCTAGTTTTCCCTTCTATCTGGGTCAGCTTGCCCTGGACTTTTCTGAGTGAGGTCTCTATATACTGTCTAATAGAATCCCATTTTCATGTTTGGCCTAATACCAAAAGGTCCTACTTAGCAGTATGATCACTTTGCTGAGTCCTCTTTTCACACAGACCCTTTTCTTAACCAACATTTAACTAAGTACTTCTGACTGGATCAGCCCTGTTTGTGCCCTGAAAGCAGATTTGCTGAGCCCAGTTTTGCTATGTGAAAAATTTGTTAAATTCAAATGCGCTTGTGGAAATACAAATAATTTCCATGATAAAAAGCTATAATCACTGCAGAAGCCATAGGTTAGTCAACTAGCCTTGGAAAGAAAAGACTAAACATATATAAGCATATATGTATATTTTGTTCATTTCTAATTACAAAAAAGTGGCAAGAACTGAATGGGTCCCCCCATGATGGTCAGCATCCTATTGAAACAGAGAGTCTGCCCTAAGCCCATGAGAAAGGAGTGGAAGAGAAGACCAAAGGAGCTTACCTCTCTGAGCTGCTTGACCCCACCAAAGATCCTCATCACTCCATCAATCTCTTGTTCCAGCCTTCGAGACCAGTACTGCATCCTGTAAGAAAGGGATGAGCATACAAACTCAGAGAAAGGTAGTGGTGGAACCCAACATCTGGTTCTAAGGAAGGTACTAGAGGGATAAAGGAAATACTATTGCCTCATGTTTTATTTCCATGTCACCAGGAATAGGCCCTAAACCAAAGACTGACAGAATCTTACAGCTGGGATAGATCGTGAGTATCAGAATTCAATTTATACTCGGGGTGAAGCGGAGGGAGAGAAATGGAAAAAAGCACATTTCGCAAATCTCCCTTCAACTTAAGTAGAGTACAGTGAGAAAAATTATGCAATGGGCCAAATCTCCCAAATTAGAACAAATTTAGCTTTAAATGGACCAGTGGAGCTGATTGGGGAAAGGACAAATATCTCTCCCACCCCACCCCCAAGATGATTTCTGTTGTAATGTGAATCATAACTCCTTGATCTATTTGTTCTAAAAACATGGATGTCCATATATTGGGTTTTTTCATATGAGGTACACCTGTATGTTAAACCTTTCAAAAGTTCATCGGATCATAGAATTTAGAGATAAAAGAATTTCAGAGATCATCTACAATGGCAGTCAAATTCAGTAGAAATGAGTGCCACTAAACCAAACATAAGGATCCCTAGGGCTCCATACTGACTTAGAAAACCACATGTTAGTCTTATTTATGTTCTATTGTTATTATTTATTTGGTGAAATATTTCCAAATTTTATAGTTATGGCAGCTTTTTTTGTAGTGGTAAAAATTGGAATTCCCCATCAAATCCCCATCAAAAATTCCCCATCGGTTGGGGAATGACTGAACAAGTTGTGGTATATGAATGTAATGGAATACTGTTGTGCAATAAGAAATGATCAGCAGGTGGATTTTGGAAAAGCCCGGGAAGACTTACATGAACTGATGCAAAGTGAAATGAGCAGAACCAGGAGAACCTTGTATACAGTAATAGCAACATTGTGCAAATGACTTAGCTCTTCTCAGTAACAATGATCCAAGACAATTCCAAAGGATGATGGAAAATGCTATCTACATCCAGAGAAAAAACTGATGGACTCTGAATGCATATCAAAGCATACTATTTTCACTTTATTATTTTTTTCCTTTTGGTCTATTTCTTCTTTCACCACTATGACTAATATGGAATATGTTTTATATGATTGCACATATATAACCTATATCAAACAGCTTACTGTTTTAGGAAGAGAGGAGGAGAAGGAGGGAGAAAATTTGGAACTCAAAATTTTATAAAAATGAATGTTAAAAATTGTCTTTACATGTAATTGGAAATTATAAAATACTATTGAAAACCCTTTCCTAATCTTATTTGAATATGGTTTGGCCATGCTCAGGAGCAGTGTGGACCCTCCTTTTTGACACTTCTGATCGAGAACAACTTCTTCATTTTACAGATTCTACAGATGAGCAAACTGAAGTCAGGAAGTGAATTCTTCAGCTGCCCAAATCCGGAGAGTGGCACAGCCATGACAAAAAGCTCAGGTCTGCCAGCTTCTGGTCCAGGGTTCTTCTGATCACACCAGGCTGCCAGAATCTGACAGGATGATCTCAAAAGGTTCTTCAGCTCTGACAATACATGCTTCTCTTCTGTATAGAGATGAGACTGCTTCTACCTAGGTGATCTATCTCAAAGGATTCTTTCACATCTAGTATACTAGGTTTTTCTCCTCTATAGGGGTGAGACAATATCTTGTAGTAGAAAGAATAGGAGACCTGGAGTCAGATGACTTGTTCCTAATTCCACCTCTGACACTAATTAGCTATGTGACCATAAGCTAGTCATTTCTCCTCTCTAAGACTCAGCTTTTTTCATCTGTAAAATGGGCATTTTACTTATATTGCTTACTTCACAAGGCTATTATGAGAAAAGTTCTTTAAAATGGGAATTATTGTTATCAGCCTGGCCTTTAATCAGGGAAAGCAGAACTTCATTATGTCTACATGATCTGAACTAATGGATGACAGGATGATGATATGGATAACTGGGAATGGGAGATGATCCTCAAATCCTTTCTGTTTGGTTTTTAATATATTTGGTGGTTTTTTGGTTCATCTTTACGGCTGTTTTTGTTGGTTTTTTTTTTGGTATAATACAAATTTTCAAAATTATGTGTTCCTTAAGTTAATACTAAAATGAGGTACTGGGTAAAGGGGGAGAACAGCTCAGGAGAATCCAAAACACTTTAAGAAGGAAGCCTGACATTAAGCCATGGGCTCATAAAGTAGACAGTGAAGAGCTGACTAGATGGACATGCCCTGTACTGGCAGTAAGAAGATCCAGGGTTGATCACTTGACTGACTCACTCTACCTACAACTTATTAGATGAGTGACCTTAGAAATCCCTTCCCCTTTCTCCGTTTCCTCATCTATAAAAATGGGGATAAATAATAAGCACATTGCCTCTCTTCCAGGACTGTTTTGAGAACCAAATGAGATAACATATTTAAGTAGCATGGTAGAGAAGAAAGGGCATTAGGTTCAGAGTTAAGAGCGACCTTGGTTCAAAGCCCACATTTTGTGGCTCCCTATCCTTGTAGTCTGAGCCAAGTCACCATTGTAGCTCAATCCTAGTTTCTCTTACTGAATGGTGAGGGGGATTGGACTAAGGTGGTCTCTTAGATCCTCTCCAGCTCTGACTCCCATGATCTAGCATGACACAGTGAGGTCATGTTTAAGACTTGCAAGATTCTACCTTCACACGGCATCAAAGAACCTCCATTGCTTTGGGAACCAGGACACCTGCTTTCTGGTCTTGGCTACGCCTCCAACTGGTTATGCCATGCCCTTGGCTATGCCCTTCTCCAGAGCCTTATGGATAAAATGTTGAACTAGTAGATTTAAAGGCCCTTGCAGCTGTGATGTTCTATGATTGTAAGGGACCAGCTCTCCACAAGAAAAACATTGCCGAGCCAAGCTCAGCTCATTCTATATGCTCTAAGGGGAGGAAGGGAGGGAAGAGGAAGAAAATGCAGAGGCTGAAAATCTGCCCCACAGACTCAGTCTTAGAAAGGCCCTTTGCCACAAACACCCCGCACCACAAAGGTACTAAATTGTGGCTCATCCTCCCTCCCCGGGAGCCCCTCAGTTGCTTGCTTGCCTGCTGCCCCATCATTTTCATATTTTTCATGCTCTTTATTGATACAACATTGCTTATCTCTAAGTGCCTTTAAGTGCTAAATTAGCCAAGAGGAGGAGGTGTGAGCAAGAGGACACTATCCAGGAGCAGAGAGCAGGCAGGCAACTGCTAGGGAAGCGGCAGGATGGTGTAGAGGGTAGAGAAAGAGGGAACCAGAGCCTTGGGGATATGCAGAATGCTTCTGCATCCACTTAACAAGAATGACAATCTTTCATCTGTATAGCACCTGCTAGTTTACAAAACAGCATGGCATAGTAGAAAAAGCACTGTTTTTAGAATCAAAAGACTGGTGTTCAAGTTCTGACCCGGACACTCCCTGGCCACGTGACTGTGGGCAAGCCATGGCACACCTCTGTAAAATGGGAATGATGTTTGAATGACTTTGCCACTACCATTCTTCTGCAGAAAGAGCTTTGTAAGTACCATCCTACAGATCATGTATATACCATCCATGACCTAGATCATGCTATAGGAGTGTGAGCTTATTAGCACAGAATGAGAGGATTTCAATCTAGAAGGGACCTTTGACTTTTCCCAAGGTCACGTGAAAGTAGCAATCATTTGGGTTTGGATTAGAACCCAGGTCCTCTTACTCTGTCTTAGTCCAGTGCTCTCTACTCTGCATTCTGCCTCTCATTCGCTACCTTATTTGAGTTTCCCAACTTTGTGAGTCTAACAGGGCAGGGATTATTCCTGTTTTAGATATGAGAAAATTCAGGCCCCAATTGAAGAAGGGACTTGACCAAAGTCATACAGTGAGTCAGGGCCAGTGTGGGTGAGAAGCCAGATGGAGATTGATTCCCAGGTGAGGGCCCTTTCTGCCAGGTAGTGGTGTTGCTACAGTCTCCAAGGGCTGTTCCAGCTTGAAACTCTGGGGCTGCATGTGTCTTGAGAAGGAATGGAGCTAGGAGGCCACCAGAGTGGTAGAGTAGGAAGAGTATGCAGAAGCAGGGAGAGAAGAGAATACTTTTAGGAGATAATAAGAACAATTTAAAATACAACTGTGAAGATTAGGAAAACATGATGGCAGGACTGGAATGGAGTAGGGAATCAGTGGACAGCAAGCATAGAGAAAGAAGGTTGCTGGTTAGACCTTTCAGTGATTTCCCCTTTTCTCCCCCAGGGGTAGCAACCACCATTACTGCCCCCTCCCTCTAGTTATGTCTTCCAAAGCCTAGGCTAAGGGAGGGCCAGTAGAACTGGAAAGGCAGAGGACTAGCCAAAAGATAACGAATGCCATTATTTTGCCCTATAATCTGGGATAAACCCCTTCCCTATTCTGGGTCTCCGTTACTTCATCTGTAAAAGGAAGTGTTTTGACAAGGTGATCTCCAAGGCTTTGGTAAAATGGAAATAACACTGACTCAGGAGTCAAGAGAATCTCAGTTTGAATCCTATCTCAGATAATGTACCACCTATTTGACCTTGGGAAAATCACTTACCCTGTCAGATCCCCATTTTTTCAACTAGAAAATGAGGGGAATTGGATTGGATGACCCCTGAGGTCCCTTCTAGCCCCAAATCTATTATCCTCTGATCCGACTGTAACATTGCATGATTTTCTCTACATAGTCCTGGACCAACAGCATTCAGAGAGACCTCAGAACTCATGAAGAAAAGGTGGGAATAGGCAATGCTGGATAGGTTGTGGGAAGATAGAAACACTGGTACATTGTGGGTGGAACTATGAATCATTATAATTATTCTGGAAATCAATTTGGAATTATGCAAATAGACTAAAATGTCCATACCCTTTGACTCAGAGGGTCCACTGCTAGCTATATGTCAAGGAGCCACTGATAAGGACAAAGTCTCCATAGATACTAAAATACCATAATATTTTGTATGATAGCAAA